CGATGTAGACTTCTAGACATCGATGTTTTGATGACCGTTAGCCATTTTTAAAGGAAATTCAAAGCCAGAACAGCGATGTTCACTATATGAACAGCGCTGTCGGGCTAGATTTCAGTAGATCCACTTTTATTTGATTTCCACAAATCAAGCCAATCAACTCCAATCTTCTCCCAACCGTTGCACCTTGTTTTTGGGTATAAAAAGGGGTCTCTTGGGTCTACTTTTGACATCCATTCCTCACACATTTCATAGCTTTACATTGAATCATTCCATAAACTTTTTACATAGCTTTTTAGAGCCATTTCTTGAGGAATTGAGTGTGTTCTTGATCTAAATTAGTTTACTCATATTCTACTCTTTAAGAGAGTTTTTGTTCTTGAGTGGTTAAGTGTTGTGAACACTTTAAGGGAGGTTTGTTCCCTTGGTTGTACGAAGGAAGGGCATATTCCTTCGAGTTGAAGTCTTGGAGTGCGGTATCTCCGAGCAAGTGTATTGAGGCTCGTGAGACTCGAGTTCTTAGGTTGTAACGGTTTGTTAAGCACCCGTAAGCTTAATGGAAGTAGTGTAGCTCGAGACAGTCTCTCGGGAGACTGGACTAGCCACACGTTGTGGTGAACCAGTATAAATCTTGGTGTGCTCTCTTTATTCTTTTTTTACGCTCTTTACTTTTTACATTCTTTACTTTATCCCTACGATTTTTATTCCGTGAAAATTTATAAACATTCTCGTGCCTCACTATTCACCACCCCTCTAGTGAAGGGCACTTATTCTAACAGAGTAAAATGGAATTGCGATAACCTTAGTAATGCCAACTTGGAAGTGTGAAGAATCTAATTGGACTACCAAAAATAACAAGTGTGAAGGATAATTCAAAGGGGTTGAGGGAGTACTATATATATATATATATATATATATATATATATATTATTTTAAAGGATTTTTATTAATCAAGAAGAGAGGTACAAATCATACAAGGAGCCAAAGCGGCAACAGGAGAATCATACAAACGAGAGATAAGGAAACTAAAAGGGGGGTTTCTGAAGAATCTTTCGGACATTTCTCCAAAAGGACTCTAGGCCCAACCCCTTGAAGTCTTCATCATGTGCCATCCATTTCTTGTTTCTGTTCACCCAGCACCATGCTTGGAGGGTCTTGAGGCACACTTGAGTAATTCCTTCTGCCGTAGGATTGATCCCGTTATGGAGATGGGAGTTGCGAGCTTTCCACAAAGACCAGCTGCATATATATATATATATATATATATATATATATATATATATATATATATATATATATATATATATATATATATATATATATATATATATATATATATATATATATATATACTACCTCCATTCCATGTTAACTGTTTATTAAAACTTTCTTGGTACATTAAAAAATGAATGAATGAAGACGTAGGGGTGTAAACGGATATTAATTGGATCGGATGTGCCATTACCAAATCCGTATCTGTTTATTTTTGTCGGATATCAAATTCGGATACGGATCTTGACGGATACTGAAAATCAAAACTGTATCCGCATCCGTCAGATATCGGTCGGATATCGGATATATCCGTATCCGTTTCCAATTTTTAAAATCAAATTAAACAATACTTTAATTTTAAATTAGATTAAAGTCAAACTATTATTAAATCAACTATAATTTGGTATGGGATAGTTATTTTCTTTGTTTTCATAATTTATGATATTCTACGATAACTTCATATGGTAAAAAAATATACACAACACACATATACACATATTTTTATATGTCTGTACATATTTTTATGTGTCTACACATTTATTTTGTATATAAAAATTTTTTATATTTTGAAATATCAATATAGAAACAAAATATAAACATAAAAAATTAGGAAACTCTATATATAACTGATCGGATATTTTGGATAAACGGTTATTTAAACGGATGCATATTCGGATCGGATTTTAAACGGATCGGATATACAATTACCAAATCCGTATTCGTTTAGTAATCGGATACGGATAATATCCGTTTCAAATGGATGCAGATATTTCCTCTTTAAACGGATTCAGATGCGGATGGTAATCGGATTTTCGGGTATCCGTTGGCAGCCCTATGTAGACATACCTTTATGTCGACATTCATTCATTTTTTAATGTATCAAGTAAGTCATAACAGACAGTTATTATGGCATGGAGGGAGTATCTCTTTCATTTGTGGTGTGGATGGAACTGGCGTGCTAACATCAAAAGAATCAATTAGGTGGCAAAGCGAAGGAAACGACTGTTGAACTACATGTTATTCCTTAGAGTGACGCCAACACTGCCTAACACATTTATTAATGTTGCTTCTCCAATTGTTGATGTGCCTTACCACATTTTCTTTCTGGCGACATTCATTGGTCTTATTCCTGCGGCTTATGTTACTGTCCGGGTAATGTGTTTCCACTCTTAATTATGCAGTATTTCTTTCGCATAGTGATTCATTATAGATACTACTGCAACCAATGTGATTTGACTAATCTTCAATTTACTTTAATATATGAAGCATATTTTCTTACAAAGCTATGACATGTTCCCTTGCATTTTCTCTTATTTGTTGTTTATGAGTACATTAGTCAAAAAACAACAACTACAACAAAATCCAATATAATTCCAACTATGTTAGGGTCTAGGGGTCAAGATGTATGGATTAAGCCACACCCATATAAATATTCTTTGTTAAACATATTTTCACAAAAGTACAGAATTTATAACTGTTGCTTAAAGAAAACAAAAGTCATATGTCAATGTTATAAAGAGTTTGACTTCAAAAGTTAAACTTGGAAAACCACAATGGTACAGAAAGTAGGAAAAAGAGAAAGTAGAAAGTTTGATTTAACTTAAAGAAAACTCTTTTAGTTCCATTGGCAATGGATGCATTGTGCCTAAATTCTTTGCTGTGAAAATTCCCACAGAGATGCTAGGCTGATCTAGGGCCTGTTTGGCAACAGCTTCAATGTTTTGCTTTAGGGTTTTTAAAATGGTATCTAACTTAAGTGTTTTCAAAGTTTATCTGCACCACTAAAAAATTATCTAAAATGCTAACGCTAATTGAAAACGATGTTCCAAACAAGGCACTAACCCCTCTTTGATAGGCCACTTTTTGAAGGTTCACAGCATTCTATGTAATTGCAGGCAGGAATTGCTCTTAGCGAGTTGCGATCATTGGGGGACTTGTATGACTTCAACTCCATAGCCACACTGTTTCTCATAGGAGCGGTGAGCATTACCCCTACATTGATAGGAAGCAATAGTAACAAAGCCTAATACAATGCATATTCCATAGCTTCGCTGAACAATTGCGAGGGCAGTTTCGTCTCTGTACATATCGACCGCTGTTGAAGAGTTGTAATGGCTCATTTCGCTTTAGAAGTTGGGGAGTTCATCTTTCTGATAAATTCTCAAACTGGATGGGGGCTGTACCACTGGATTTAGGGCTTGGGTGATGTCCATATTATCCTTTGAGAAACTGCAACTGCTCTCCAAATGTATGGGTTTGTTATATCTGGGCCTGGCCCTATCCTACCCTCCCCCATGTCCCACACTCCCATGGGAACCAAAGGACTTAAGTTCAAACATTATGATCCATTTTAGTAAGAATTCAAAGTCCTTTAACCCGGAAGGGCAAATAACTTTCGTTTTTGACCTCGGGGTTCCGCTGGCCAATCCTCATTCCGTCTTACCCAACCCCAAATATCCAAAAGTATTTTATTTCCTTTTGATATCCAAAATAAAGTTCTTCCTACACTTATTTTAGCCCAGGGCCGAAAATAAAAGTGTGTAAAATAAAACCTTTTGTGTGTTGTTATTTTCCTTTTTTTAAGCCTTTTATTAAGCCAATTAAACCCTCCCTTTATTCCATTCACCCCTGGCCAAAATACAATTCACAATCCCAACATAAACACCCACAAAGAGCCAAAATCTTGACCCACCACTTGCCACTCATTCCTGCCCATGATTCCCTCACAAATAACCCAAACCTATAAGTCCAAAACCACCCATTATATTCCCCATCCCTGCCCCCCTTTAATGACCAAAAACAACCCTCCATTCTTACCCAAATAATACCCACAAAACCCAGGAAAACAACCACTACAAACCTAAAACCCAAAACCCCACAACCCTCAGCCCCATCCCTGATTTTATCCCACTAAGGAGAAAGGTTTGAATGAGGAATGCCCTATGCTTTGAGAGAGGATGTTGCTAGGAAGCTTACTCATGTTCACATTCATTGCATTGTGTATTATTTCCCCCTTCCTCCTGCCTATATAAATCAGGCCATATGGCCAAATGTAACACAACTTTGAATATTAAAACTCCCTTTTACTCTTTGAGTATTTATAAAATAGTGTGATGCTATTTTAGCCAAATTCCTAATTCCATATCTTAAGAGTGATTATCTTAAGTGTGAGTTTTAGGTTCTAGATATTTGATTAAGTGTGTCATATCATAATTAAGTTCTAGATTCAAACCCCAAGTTAGGATAAGAGTTTGTCATATCTCTTAAACATCAACTTGAATTGGTTTATCCATCCCTGAGTTTTCTTCCATTTCTTATCTCCCCATTTCTCCTCTTAACCTTACTCTTTTCTCCCACTAAAAACACCCAAAAGAACACCTTCATCTCCTCCATATTTTCCCCCCAGATTTTGGATCCTGCTTGCCTTGATAATCGACTATCAACAAGGATAATCGACTATCGTCCCCTCCTGAACTCCCTTGGAATAAGCTGCGAACCCCAATAATTGATTATCATATACTGATAATCGATTATTTCCCTTCCCTGAAGTTTCTGGGTTTTAGCAGCACAGCTCCACAATCGATTAACACCTGGCCATAATCGATTACACCTGCTCTTGAACCTTGAACTCAAGCTGCATCATCCCTTAATTCCTTCTCAAAATAACAACTCGTTTAGACCCCCGGTTTGGGTATAACAAGGAGGGTGAAAATAAATAAAAAAAATTGTTGTAAGCAGCCTTAAAAACTTTAAGAGACATGATTTAAAGTACTCTTCCTGTTTGTGTGTGTGTAAGTTTGATGAGAAACAACAACAACAACAACCCAGTTGAATCCCACAACAGTAGGGTCTGGGGAGGGTGTGTGTACGCAGACCTTGCCCCTACTCGGAAGTAGGGAGGCTGTTTCCAAGAGACCCCCGGCTCCACCTGCACAAAAATATGGAAGAGAACACAGTATAGCACCGATAAGGCACCAAGTACAAGCAACAAGTACAAACAATAGCAAAAGATTCCCAACAAATACAACACACTACAAAACAACCTCTACAACACCGAGCTCCTATCCAGCTACTCTAATCCTAGTTCTCCAAAGGTTCCTATCTAGGGCCATATCCTCAGTCAGGTCGAGAAGTCCTAAATCCTGTCTTATCACATCCTCCCAATTCTTCTTAGGTCTACCCCTTCCCCTACTTCCCCCGATAACCGTAATCCTCTCGCATCTCCGTACAGGGGCGTCAGCATCCCACCGTCTCACATGGCCAAGCCACCTCAACCTCGCTTCCCGCAACTTGTCTTCACCGGTGCCATACCTACTTGACGTCGGATAACCTCATTCGAAATCATATCCAACCTTGTCTTCCCGCACATCCATCGTAACATCCGCATCTCCGCCGCATGCAGACAACGCACATGAGTCTTCTTAACCGCCCAACACTCTGCCCCATATAACATAGCAGGTCTGACTACGGATCGATAGAACTTACCTTTCATTCTAGGCGAAATCTTCGGATCACACAACACCCCTGAAGCTAACCGCCATTTGGCCCAAGCCACTCCAACCCGATGTCCAACATCTGCATCTAACTGCCCATCCGCCTGAATTACCGAGCCAAGATAACGAAACCTGTCTACCTTAGGTACTAGGTGAGAGTCAATCTTGACTTCCACCTCAGATTCTGTATCCCGGCCGCTGAAACGACATTCCATGTATTCAGTCTTGTTCCTACTTATTATGAATCCTTTAGTCTCAAGGGCAAGGCGCCATAATTCCAACTTATCATTTAGTCCCTCACGCGTGTCGTCGATAAGCACAATATCATCCGCGAAAAGCATGCACCATGGGACCCCGTCTTGAACCCCTTGAGTTAGGACGTCCATCCCCTTGAGCAGACCCTTGGTGTAACCCCATCCCTACCGAGAAGGAACCTGAGACACCCCCGGAAGTCCTTACCTTGGTCATAGCCCCATCGTACATATCCTAGATCGCGCGAGTATACACGATGGGAACTCCTCTCGCCTCAAGGCACCTCCATAAGACCTCCCTTGGCACCCTATCATACGCCTTCTCAAGGTCAATAAACACCATATGAAGGTCCTTCTTCCTAGCCCTATACTCTTCCATTAACCTCCTCACGAGATGAATGGCCTCTGTAGTCGATCTGCCAGGCATGAAACCAAACTGGTTCTCCGAGATGCAAACCTCTTTCCGCACCCTATACTCAATAACTCGCTCCCAAACCTTCATGGTGTGGCTAAGCAGTTTGATGCCTCTGTAATTCTCGCAGCTCTGAATGTCACCTTTGCCTTTAAACAGAGGGACCAAGAGACTCTCCCTCCACTCATCAGGCATCCATGCTGTC